TGGCCTCATAAGATAGTGAAAAAAGACACAGATTTTACAACAGGATTTTTTCTTAAAAACAGAAATTTTCTAAATTTGGGGACAAAATGATAAAGAGTACATTTATATAGAGGTTTAAGCCAGAATGATATGACATTTAAATATGATTTGCCTACGACTTTAAGAAGCACAGCCCAACGGATACAAGCTATGAGTGAGCTCATTTAGGAGCTTGAATTTCAGACTTCATTCAATATTCCTCATTTTCATAATAAGATTCAATATTTTCTAGACTTAAATTTCCCAAGTTTTTCTTTTTCTTTATCCCAGGTTTGAATCTGAAATACAAAAGTTGAAAATAAATGTGAAATATATAGCTTATGTTAGCATGGTTCTATTTTTTTTTTTCATTTTGGAATGTACAAAAGATAAGACTGGATTCCTTTTCGAAGAGTTAAATATTAAGTATGTTTTAGTCCAATGTCTAGTATGTCCAAATGTATAAATCTTTAACATTAAAAAAGGGAAGAAGCTTTGAATGTGGTTCAGGCATCTGCGTCTTGGTCCTGCATCCTTAAAGAGTGAAAATATAAAACTTTAATTAAAACTGCATTACATGTATTTCCTTGTTAGCTTAATGGATTGAATTGTTTATAAAAAAGATTAAAAAAAAAACTTTGAACCACTCTGATGGATCTAGTTGAATCCTCCCTATAAAATGTCTTGATATTGGTGCTATATAAATAAACTGAATGGAAATTTTAATTTAATTTAGGCAGTGTTAAGGTAGATTGAGAAACCGGTTGATAACAAACAAATTCCATTAAAGAAAAACTGGTGGATCTGTTTTAATTACAATGGTTTTCATCCTCCAGCTCCGAGTTGTTGATAGAAAAGCTGAGTTTGATGAAAGGGACTATTTTTACTGCAGCAGATGCTCTTATCTGCCATGTTTTCTCCAAAACTGGCTCTCTGTATACAAACAAGATATTAACATGGAGAAGGAGATGGTGGGGGTCGGGGGGTTCACACTCTTTCCAACAACACTGCACTGCCTATATAAAGGCAATGTCAAAAATGACACCTGGAAAGAAACAAAAAAAACTCCTAAAATCACAGCTAGTTTGAAGTGGGAGCTATTTAAGGATGCAGCAGTAAAAAATAAGTGCATATATGTGAGTAGAAGCAGCAATATGAGGTCAGGACTACTTTCTGCTTTTCCTCTCAGCTGCACAAAGTGAGGGAAGCTCCGAGTGAGACAGCCAGACGGATGTGTGAGCCGAGTCGAATGCGAAGAGGCTCGGTAGACTCGGAGTAAGAGGGAGGTGTGACGGCAGCTTTCAGAGAGGGCTGAAAAAATGAAAGTGCTCACAGTTGTGACATGTCGCTCCAGAGTATCCTGTTCCAGAGCAGTCGCAGGAAAAGGAGCTCCACGTCTGGGAGCAGCGGGCGCCGTGTTCGCAGAGGTTAGGCAGGCATCTGGGGGAAAGGAAGAAACAATACTACAGCTTAAGGCAGTATAACCAATTCAACAACTCACTGCACAACTATTTCACTTTTAGCACACAAGAAAAAATGCAGGTATATGAAAAAGAACAACAATCCTAATGAGACCTTGGTTTTAGTCTAATTAGTGCAAAAAAATGAAAGGAAGTCTTAATTACAATGCCATATCATAACAAAGAAGCTCCAATTATCGCATTTAAAAGCTGCAGTGAGAGAAAGCTTGCCAGTGTTGCTTGTAATTAATTGATTATCAGACTAGTTGGTAATTATTATTTTTTTTCTGCTTACTAATTGAAAAACCTCCAGGTTCCCCCTAATATGCTTTGATCATTATTTGCCTGCCTTTCATGCTTTCGGGGGATCAGCGCTAACTGATTACGATTAACCCCAAACTGAGTGTCAGGTGTTTGTTTCAGACAACAAAATAAAGCACAGACCTTGTACTAACCCTCTCTGCCAGGTAAGAAAAAAAATCCATTCCATTCTACTCTTTGTTTTCTCCTTCGTTATTATGAATGGGAACCTTGGAAGTTGTCCAAAAGTTAATTTGCTGATGAGTCATGTTTTGTGAGCCTAAATAAAAAAAAAACCAAACGACTCAAGAGTGTTGGATCCTGCAGCCTATTTGAATTTGAAAAAAGCCGATTTCTTGGAGCACAAAAGCATCACTGTCACCTTCAAAGAATGCATGTTAATAGGATTTTGCCGCAGAAAAATTTACACCACAATCTTCTGATTAATAGTCCCGTCCACAAGCCTCCTTCAGTTTCACATAATTGCCAGCCTTTCAAGCATGCATCTATAATTTCATACACTTTATCTCTCACCTATTAACGGCAGCACAGCGGGCCAGTCGCAACACGGATAGGGTTGCTACAATCGCTTTAATTACCATCAAGCTATTTTCTGTTGTTCTGTCCACGGCTGCCCTTACAGGACGTGAAATTACAGTAGGCAGAACACTTAAGCACACACGAGCTGTAAACTGAGGTGTAATTAGACCGAGAGAAAAGGAGATTAGCTCTGATAAAAGTTAATTTTCCTCGTGCACTCAGGGGTCATTAAGTAGGCCACAGAAGAGAAATGACAGCTAATATCAGGGATGTAATCACTCTCACATGTCATGTCCTCACAGTGGCACAGAAGGTTGCCAAGACATAAGCCATCTAAAAAAAAAAAAAAACAACCTCTGCTTTGCTGTCTTCAGCTTGCTGCACTTTTCCCATACACACATGCCTTTATGTGCATTTGTACTCTCATTTGTTTGAAAAACTATTAACATTTTTTAAGATTAATCCCTCGTCAGCCTGAAGGTCTCTGTGCTGGGGCCACCAGGCTGCATCTGTTATTAAAATGCAACCCGCTGCCATTTTGAAAATGTTGCTGACCCTGGCAAAATCACTGAAGAGCCTCCTGGTGCCGCTGTGATTAAAATGGGCGCAACTTTTCTGGTGTAGTGGATTTGGACGAAGACTGAAACCCTTCCTTTTTGTTTTTCTCCTCATCTTAAACCCTTTTATTTTTAAAAACTAGATACAAAGAAATCATTTCAACAAGATTCGGTACCATTTATGTCTCGACACAGCATCATGATAACATCAGAGGAGATTTTAGTGCGACAGATACCTGCTGGTTAAAAGGTAAAACACATTCCATAATTACAACATTGCTCTCGGTTTTCTATCTATAAAAAATATTAGTCCTATTCTTGATCCAGGGGAATGAATGATCAATAATAATACGGTATAAGATTGCATGTTTCATCCCATTAGAGCCCGAAGGTTGAAATTTAGAAAGGAAATCAACAGAAGGGCCCCCTGAAGGCAGACTTCTAAACATTCACAAGAAAGACCTGGAGTTCAAAACTGCAACAACAAAGCGCAGATTACAGAATTAAGCTTTTGATTTCCTTTCATATTATTTTAATCAGTGATTTTTAAAGGTAATAAAAGGCATTTTGTAGTTTTTTTTTTAATTTATTTTATGGGGCATGGCTTTTTCTAAAACATGTTTTTACGTGCAGAGCTGATCTTCAAAAAGATTCAAAGGGATTTGCTTTTGGACTTCAGTCATTATTAATATACAGATCCTATTCAAAAGACCCAGCTGCTCAAATTCATGGGTGGAGATATCCAAACGTAGTTTACCATTCGCAAAGGGATTTTCCAAACTGGAAATGTGGCTGTGACTGCAGCTTTTGCATCGTTTTAATACTTCTCAAAGTCAGGTGCAATCTGACACACAAAAATATCGACAGTTATTGTTGCCATAAAAGAATAATTGGTAAATTGTCAGAGATAGAGAGATATTCTGTAAAGATATTTTAAGCAATAATATAATAATTTTAAAAAACGGTCTACAGGCTGGCACTGATGCAACAGAACAGGAGATGGTATTTATACAAAATAACAATACACAAAGCAGTTACATTTTATTTTCTTTTAATTCCTTTTTTGAATTATTGCATGCAATAAAAAAAAAAAAAATACAGATGTATTTTAGCACCATCTTTGAAGAACAAGCCCTAAGTGTTTTGTGTGTGGTGTAGAGAGAAAGCCCATATTTTTAAAAGTGAAGCTTATGTAAATTATCAGTGATAATGACTGTGACTGAGTGAATGTGCTCTCTTCATACTCTGACATGGGAGGTGGCTCGGAGCTCGTCTGCCTGGCTGTGTGTTTTTTCTGGACGGGGCCGCTTTTGCAGCTGCTTTTTGTGTCTCTGCTTCTGTCTCCTTGAACCCCAGTCGGC